TGCGCTTATTTGGAGGAGGACGCTTAATCAAAAGAGCGCCTATTAAGATTGCACTGTAACAAGAAGAAAATCAAAAGAACCGATAACACACATAAAGAACTCTGCAAGCGCAGAGAGATAGAAATAACCGGAACGTTAAAGAGAGTGTTCTTCTCTACTGATTCCGCTGTAGTTAAAGCTTAAAAAGTTTTAAATTTGTAGCAATAGAAACAGGTTTTCCTTGTATCCCTACTATTTAAGAAAGTGAGGGGGGAGGGGGCGCAGTTATTCGAGGGGGGGGAGGAGGATGAAATTATGGCCTAGAAGTTGGGTGCTTATTCGGAGGAGGGCGCATATAAGAGCGTTGGCGCATACTCGAGGAAATGCAGTATGGTATGTGTTTAGTTAGAAAAGAATGGTACGAGAGAGTAGACGGAAGACCGATCGCTTCAGCACTTTTCTTATCTCCAAATTTATAAATCAATGACCTTAGACTGAGAATGGATACGTGTTCCTAACTATAGATAATAAGATAGGATGGCTCTTGTCTTGGTTCGTATTGCTGCAGAAATAAAGCTGATCATCAACGAAGACTTAAAAGAGTTTGTTTAACGACACTCACTCGAAAAACGCTCTTTTTCTTTCACCAAATAGGTCTTGTTGAGTGTTACATGTCTGCAAAACGACATAAGGAAGCGTTAGCCGTGGCAAAGAACGCCCACAAGACTTTAGGAGCCAATCCACGGACGTTAACCGTAAGATAGTTTTGTACGGTGAACCGTGAGCTCCAGAGGTCTGATTGGTACTACAAACCTTCCTTCTAATTGCTATTCATTTTTTTTAACTTCTTTCGTAGCTTTATGCTTCAGTTATGGCTCATGAACCGTCTCAATACGATAAGGTAAGTGAAATCGTACGGAAAAACTATTCACTAAACACTCTTCCCCGTAATAACTGATCATGATGCTACGTAAATTTCACTTATCAAAATTTTAAATGATACTTAAGTTACCCTTTGACATCAGACGAGGAACAGCCCTTGTCAAGAATTTCCAAACGTGGAATTCCAGAGATTCAACTTGTGGGCCAAACTCGAACAACACTGAGATCTCCAATTTATAAGAATTTTTTGCACGGATTACTTGTGATTATTCAGTAAAAAGAATCAAACCTTTTCGGGTACTTTATGAAGACCTAACGATTTGAATGCGTTTATACAAGGCCACAAGTATGCTGGAAAAAAGTTTGGCTCAAGACGATACTTATACAGATGCTGTATGTCTGTTGGCGGAAATCATGGGCAAGAAGCAGGAATACGACAAGGCTATTGCTCTGTAAGTTTGCATTGATGACCTACTCATCCTAAGAGGTGATCGATTTCCTAACTTATCGAGATGGAAAGTCTTTTTGAAAGAAGTCGTACCCTCGAACTGCACAAAGGTCTGGGTGGAGAAGGTTAGAAACTCACGTGGCAAGAGTCAGTATACTGTGGCTCCAGTAGCTCTCCAACCTACATGTACAGTGAGTGGCAAAAATAGTTGGCACGCCTCTCCTCAGTAGGTAGTCGACAACCCCCCACCCAACATTATAACCAGAAATCTTATGATTCA